TCTTTTCTGCGAAAGAAAACAAAACAAAATTTTCTTTTGCTTGATTAACAACCAGTAACCTTTCAAAATATTCATATTCCCATTTGAAGGGAAAATGTGCAACACTAGGAAATTTTTCAGTGCAATTAAAATATTGAATTAAAAAAATATAAAAAAAAATCTTACAAGTTGAGGAAGCTTGAAATGTCATCAATGCCATCGATCCACTCGACATCGGGACCGAATCTGACTTGGCCGTTTAAATCCAACGTCACGTGTACTCCTAATCCGCCATCTTCCGGTATGGGATAAATCAAATGCTTAAAAGGTGGAGTTTTCATACTCGATAACGTAAAATAGCAGCCACGGGCAAAGTACGGTTTTGGAATAATTCCATTATCCAGGCCATGGATTCTCTTGGATAGAGCTAGAGCACCTAGACCAGCTGAATTCACAACAAGTCTCGGGCGAAGAATTAGGTCGGGCCTCAAAGGAGTGTATAAATATTCGTCCTGGTTTTTAAGACCCCGACTTTCGGAAATATACAGCTGCAAACGATCTTCTTTGTATTTACCGCCAATCACTGTAGTATTGTATGAGATGATTGCTCCATGGTTCTCAGCTTCCCCCTAAATGCTATATTCCTGTCAAATATTTGTATAATAACTCTAAAAAAGATAGTTTATATATATATAAAGCACACGAAAAGATTGTTGTTTTTCTTCGAGAGTATTTGCTATTTTTTGTGTTTCATGCTCATGATTTTGCATAAACAAATCCTTCATATTTCAAACCATACTTTATGATCATATTATAGAATATTTATAAGCATTTTTACAGCTTTAACTTATCAACAAGACATCAAAACCGCGCGAAATCTTGTTCTCAACACAACTTCTCAACTTTCACCGACACCCTTAAACAAAGAAAAAAGCGAATTAAAATAGTGATTCTTTTTATGATTAGATTAGAGAGTCATACCAATAGGGATAGCATAAACGAGTGGCTATCGATTATGCCTGAGGCAGGTGATAATAGAGCTTTCGTGCATTCTAATTCAGGTTCCATCTTTTTGGCTTCTTCAGCTTCCATCATTCTAAGATCCTCGACTCCATTTTCAATCCCTCGAGTCAAAAGCTCATTCAATTTCGGGATTTCTGAAGATCGGGTGGCAACTATTAGCTTCCCTATCTGTTTATGAGGAATATCATGTTCTCTGCTGTATTGGTATAACAAATGCCTCCCTCTAACACAGAAAAGTGCCTGCAAGCAATAATTGGATACCAAATTTATCCCCTTTCTAGCCAACAGTTGTTCTTACAGCTGAGAATACCGAATAGTAACATACAGTAACAAAATAGAGAAGTTTAACCAATAATTTGAACAAAACAGAAAAGCTAGCAAACACTAAAAAACAAGTGATGCTTCTCAACTTCATCAATTGTCACTTTTTAGCGGTAAATGCTGCCGATTTTTTTAAGAAAAATATATTACTTAAATAGGAATATTACAAACACTGAAAATACACATTTGATATCCAAAAATACCGAGAAGTAAGATATACACATTTCCATTAAAATCGCAATATTGAAAAATATGTTTAGCAAATAGCAACAACAAACAGGCATGTTTTAGGACAACAATTTTGCTTCAAGCAGAGGATATCAAATAGCAAAATGAAGTAACATAACGGAAAAATTAAATGATAATTTGAACAAAAACAGAAAGGCTGATGCTTCTCAACTTCATCAATCATCACTTTTTAGCAGCAAAAGCTGCTGAATTTTGTTTTCGATAAATTACTGTATGCACTAGCCATAAGTGATTGCAAGCACTCAAAATACCCAAACCAAATTCGATAACTCCAGCTCAACACTGAAAATATACACAAATTATATCCAAAATACCCAGCAGGCAGATTTACAATTTCACATTAAGCTCACAAATTGACAAAAAAGCTATTAGCTATCCATTTTTTTCTAAACTAAAAAGCTACCTTGAGAGAATTAGGAGGGTAATAAATGCCGGCGTGAATGACTTCGCTGTTGCGAGAGCTCGAGCCAGTCCCGAAAGTGGGCCCGGACTCAACCACCACAACTTCCCTCCCAAGCTTCACCGCGAGCTCACGCGCCACCGCCAAGCCCACCACGCCGGCGCCGATCACAACCACGTCCGCCTCTTCATTGGGCACCGATCCGTGCTTCGCCGTCGAGAGCCACCTCGCTGGTCTGCCCGCCACCGCGAAGGCCCGGCAAATCCCGCCGGAGGCGCTGAATCTCATCGTCGTCTACAACAATAAATCGAAATCCAGAACACAAATTCTCTTTCAAGAAACCTTTTTTTTTCAATCAATGTCACGAACATTCCTTCGCTTAGTGTCGATGGGTTGTCGTCAATTTATGAATTTTTACAGCACCCCACAATTCTTGTTTGCGATTGCTCAATCCACTTGACAATTCAGCTTTCTCGGTGCTACGTACTTGCCGAGGCCTTCAAATTATGAAGCAAACACTTGCGTCGATATTAACTTCAAACGATAGATAGTCTTGAGTCTTGACTACCATGGGTAATCCAACCATGTTAACTTATGTTTCGAGTTCATTTATTTTTTTAGTAAAAAATCGTGTTAGAGCTAGTTTGGTTAATTGTTTCACAAAGTTTGAGTTCGTTCGTGTTCAAATAATTTAAAATATAATTTTTTTAAATATGTTTGATTAACTCGAAATATGTTAGTTCGAACTCTTTAGAAATCAAAAATAAGAAAAACAAATAAAATTGTTTTATATTTTTTATATTCTTATTGAAAATATTTTATAAATATACAAAAAAAAATAAAATAAGATAATATTAAGTTAATGTTAACAACGAACTTTTTTGAACGAGCTCATGTTTGTTCGATATTAAAGGAGCCTAATTTTCTGTTCCAACTGAGCTCCATTAACAAACGAACGAGCTCTTGCCAAACACGAGTGAGCTTGAACAAACTTTTGTTTGCGAACGTTTGATTCGTTAACAGTCCTCTTGACAATACTATCCACTTTGCACATGAACAAATGTAAATAAAATATTATAAATTATATATATGTATATAATATAAAAATTATAGGTTATATATTTTAAAAAACTAAACATTAATAAAATTAAACAGACAAAATCATTTAAATGCATGAAGACAACTGTATTGATTGAATTAAATGTATTTAGAATTTTGAGAGATCATACCAATTAGCTGAAAAATATTAAATTTATTATTATAACAATTGCTTATGGTTTGACTATATTGTTTAAACAAGTTAGTTTACCTAAAAAACAAACCTAGATGAGATAGAAAATAATATTAAATTTAAAATAAGTAAATTATAGAAAAAAAAATATAAAATAATTTTTTATGCTCATGTAATTTTCATATGTCATTTAGTTTAAAATATAACAAAATGTCTAGAGCCATCAGAAGACTCAGTTACTCAATATAAGATGTAACGCTTTTTTACTCTAATTAACGAGTTAGAGAGAGAAATGAAGGAGAAATGAAGGCTGAGTAGGAAACGAATTTCCTTTTGTAGATCTAGCCATTTTTACTTAATATTACCTACTAACCTTCATCATTTATATATCAAAAACTTGATTTTATTCTTGTATCTCATATTAAATTTATACAAAATAAACTATTTATAAACTAGTTTGTTAGTCTATTTATATCTCACAAAGAATGGATTGGTTTACAATTAAATTTGGAGGATTTTAACAAGTGATTTTATATGAATGTATGAATCGTAGTCTTCCATTGGATACAATCGTAGAATAATGTATTGAATATCATGGACGTTAATAGGATAATTCGTTTTTTCTAGAATATATATATTTATGTTTTATGTTCGCATATGTTATTATTCAGACAATTGAGCTTTTTTATTATATCAAATTGCATGCCACATTGCATGAGTTTATATACAGTGGACCACGAGGTTCAACATATTGATTGTCGCATTTTGAGTAAAATGTATAGAAATTAACACCGCCTATTCCAGTGAGGGAAGAGGGAGTGGGATAGGGACTTAATTTCGCAAACATTTAACCCTTTTGTTGCAGGGCTTATTCTTAAAATTCCTCTTGACCAATCTGATTCAAGGGATAGATTTGTCTGGCATTGGAACAAAAAGGGAGAGCTGACTGTTAAGGAAGTCTACAAAAATATTCTACACAACCAGTCTATGGTGCAGAATGAAAACACTGGCTCTTGCTCAGGTAAAAGTGCCAACCAAAGGATGTGGGAATTTACTTGGAGACTGCCAATTCAGAAGAAGATCAAAAATTTTTTGTGGAGGTGTTGGTTCAACTTCTTAGGGACCAAGGTGAGTGGAGATTGGGAGGATTTGTGAAACATGTGGAGATGAGGTCGAGGACTTGAATCACATTCTCTTCAATTGTGTTAAGGCTCAGACTTGTTGGCAACTGTGTGGCATTTCATGGGATCTACTGGAAGGTGGGGCAGCAAATTTTAATAAATGGTGGATTGAGGTTAGTAATACCAGAAAAGCAAAGCACTGGGAAGAGAGGATTGGCTTATCAGCTTATCTCATGTGGACCTTGTGGAAAGATAGAAATGCATGGATATTCCAAAAGGAATACACTTCAGCAAAAAACTTGGTGGCAAAAACTAGATGGGCTTGGAGTGAAAGGCTTATCTGCCAGGCCTAAGAAGAAGAGAGAAGACAGTGAGGGAAAGGAGGAGGAAGAGGAAACTACAAGTTACTTTGAGTTTGCAGTAGGACAACTATATATAGCTGTCAGTACTTGGTCTACAACTCAGGGTACAATAGGCAAAGGGTGTGTGGCAAGGAAGGATGGCAGGATCCTGAAAACTTGGGCTGCAATGGAAGGATGCTATGATACTGAGGAAGAGAACCAGCTGGCAGGTATCAAATGGGCACTGGAGAGAGCAAGAGACAAAAACTGGATTAACTTTGTGTGCCTTATTGATCAACAAACTCTTCTTATGAAGCTGATTTCTGGTACTGGGTTTTCCCCTCATTTAGATTGGCTTGTTCAGGAGATTATGCATTTAGCTATAATTATTTGTAAATGTTCTTTTGTTTTTGGTGGGAGTTGGAGTAGTTTGTCTAAGTCATTGGCTATTGATGCTGTTGAGGGCAATCAAATGTGATTATGCCCGGGAGCATACTTTGAGTATGTTTATTGAAGTAGGCTTATGTAACCATTTGGTTATTCGGTTGTATCTTGGACTATGTTTTGAGTTATATTTTAATTCTTTTC